TTCTCTCTTTCTCTGGTCAAATTAATAAAAAGTAATCAATAAAGTAATTCTTTTTTAAGAGAGAGTTTTATTATAGGGCGTGTGCACTCACTGGAGAGACAAAGCTAGAAATCTCCCCCTGGAAGGATGGCCATGCCACAACCTCTTCTTCTCCATTCTCCTTTTGGGATTTGGGCATCCAGACCCCCACACCCGATGTGAGTTCCAGGCTGCTGAGTCTCGGACTTGAACCCAGTGGGCTGGGTCTCGCACTTGAAGTGTTGTCAGCCATGTGGGAGTTCAGTGACGTAGCCATTGTATCATCTGCTGAGCTCAATAAAAGAATTTGATTTTTTATTGAAAGAGATTTTTGTTATAGGGTGCAGGTGCTTACTGGAGACACAGAGAGACAAAAAGTGAGAAGTTACTCCCTGGCGGGATGGCCACACTGCAATCCCTTCTCCTCCATTCTCCTCTTGGGATCTTGGGCACGCACGCACACGCACCCGGTGTGAGTTTTAAGCCACTGTGTCCAGGACCTGAACCACAGTCGACTACATGGGAGTCCAGCAACGTGCCCATTACTCCAGCTGCGGGTCATACCAATAAAATAATTCTTTTTATTGGGAGAGGTTTTTGCTATAGGGCATGCGCACTTGCCAGAAAGCCAGAGAGACAGAAAGCGAGAGATCCCTCCCCGGGGGGATGACCACGCCGCAATCCCTTCTTCTCTTGGGATTTTGGGCATGCATGCACCTGCACCCGGTGTGAGTTTAAGCCACCAGGTCCCGGACTTGAACCACGGTCGACTACATGGGAGTCCAGTGACATAGCCATTATATCAACTGCTGGTCCCGCCGATAAAATAATTCTTAAAAAATAGTTTTATTTATTTATTTCTTCCCTGAATAAGAGAGATGGAGAGACAGCACCTTCAAGGGCCGTAGGGCAGACTTGAGCACCCACAGATGTCAGTACCCAGGGACTCTGGACCCAGTCCCCCACGCACACTGAGAGCCGGTGGTTGCCGTTCCCTGGGGAAGGTGTGGTTTCTGCCACCATGTGAGTTGACATGCATGGGGCGTGTTCTGTGCGGTAGAACTGGGATGTGAGCTGACGTGATGGGTACACGTGCCTTCCACTGCCAGAGTGTTCCTACAGAGGACAGGCCAGCCCGGTGCCACCCTAGTGCGGAGCCCGTGGGTCCCCGGGGAGCACTTCCTTACGTCACTCGGGAGAGTGCTCGGACAACTTCGGGAGGCAGGTCGCGTGTCGGGCTTTGTCACAGTGTATGTGCACATGCTGGAGAGAGACCGAGAGACAGTTTGGCATGATTTTCAAGTTGCCGGTTCTGGGACTCGAACTGCAGTCAGCCTTGTGGGAGTCCAGCACCTTAGCCAACATGTCACCTGCTGGTCCCGGTGCATTGT